TCTCTCTCTCTCTCTCTCTCTCTCTCTCTCTCTCTCTCTCTCTCTCTCTCTCTCTCTCTCTCTCTCTCTCTCTCTCTCTCTCTCTCCCCACCCCTTGCGCGCATCCCCTTTTACCACACAACTGCCCCTACAGATCAAAGTGCCCGTCGTTGCTCTCCTGCCCAATCGTCATAATCATTATAAGCTCCTCCATCTCCCCAACTCTTCCACCCCATCATCATCGCTATCATATTCATAGCCGTCATATCATCATCATCATCAGCAGCAGCAGCAGCATTATCAGCATCATCATTATCATCATCATGCCTGCGCCATCATCATAATCATAATCGTCCTAATCATGATCATCATTAGATCTTCGTTTCTCGTGGATAGGCAGTGGTGGTCCCGCCGATCGCGATTATCAGCATTATCAGCATCATTATCAACATCATACCCTTTTTTCTTCTTACAGTATTATCGTCCACTTCTGTGTCGTTCTCGTCTCCTCCTCCTTTCGCCACCAGGTGTTCAGACTTAACCAAATTCGTGACAGCGACTGTGGTGGTCCCACCAATCGCGTCGCTGGCAGCATATACGGAGTTCCCTATCTACCAAGTACATAGACAAACAGGATTTGAAAAGAATATGTGGTGGTCCCACCGATCGCGACTGTGGTGGTCCCACCGATCGCGTGTCGGGCAGCATTACAGAGTTCCCTATCTACCAAGTACATAGACAAACGGGATTTGAAAAGAATTAAGTGGTGGTCCCCACCGATCGCGTCTCGGTTGCAATGGGGGAGTAGAGTAGAAGCAGAGACGTAAATAGTTGGTAAGTGGCAAGAGGCGCGATACGCCGCTGGGTGGAAAGGGAGGCGGGGAGGTGGGTAGGAGGGAAGCGATACGCCACTCGGTTCGCATTTCTGCATCCGCATGCATCCGTATCCGCGTCATCATCAGCATCAGCGTCGAAGGTCTTTGGGCCTCGCCGCACTGCTCACCAAATGGCGATGCATCTTTCCATGTTCTAGCGGAAGATTCGTTCTCATTTCGTGCATTTGGTGACGCCATTTTTAGCACAGCCATAATTTTTGTCTTTTGTGCATTCGGTGAGTGGTGCGGCGAGGCCCTATACCTGCGTTCAAAGAAATGGGAGGCACCACCTTCGCCGTCGCGCGATATGTGCGTGCGTGTGTGTGTGTGTGTGTGTGTGTGTGTTTGAGAGAGAGAGAGTTTGAGAGAGAGAGAGAGAGAGAGAGTTTGAGAGAGGGAGAGAGAGAGAGAGAGTGTGCGTTTGAGAGAGAGAGAGAGAGAGAGAGAGAAAGATAGACACATGCA